GTGGTGGGCAAATGTGAAGCCAATTGGGTTTGTGCATGCGTAGGGGTGATTAATTGAAATGGAAGGGGCTTTGAGCTAGGTTGGGCCAATCATGGGTCAGCCCCATTGGAATGGCTTGAATGGCTTCCTATGGCTGACCAAAGTCAGGTGAGCCAATTGAAATGGTGTGGAGAGGTTTCCATCCAAGGGATTTGGCTAAACATGGGTTAGAGTGTGTCATTAAAAGGCTTAAAAACTTTTTTAAGGAGGCTTGAAAGCCTTTTGCCATTAATAGCTTGATGAGGTCGCAAAGGCTCATATGGCTCACCTATGGCTCGGGGATGGCTTCATGGCTTTGTCCTTGGCTTGGTCAATTTGCATGAGAAAGGATTTTTGAATTTTATAGGGTATTTTGATGGTGTTTGTCATGGGCTTAATATTGAATGATTTGATCATGAATTTAAAACTTAGGGAATGATTTTAATGAAATGGACGATGAGGAGAAAAATTGTCATGTGGGCTTTTAATTGAATATTGGGCTTTTGAAATTAAATGTGATGGGCTTGGGCCTTTAAAATTGGGAATGAACTTGGGCTTGAGTTTGGGTTAAATTAGGTTTGGATAAGATGGATTTGAGTTTAAAATTGAATCGGAGAGGATTGAAGTCAATTTGGTTGACATTGGGGTTAATTTGAAGAAATTGGGTCTATAAAGACAATTTGAGGCTTTTGGTCAAAATGGGTTCATGGGGGTGTTTCAAATGGGTTTTGGGTACATTTGGGGTGATTTTGGAATTTTTGGGATTTTTGGGTCATGAGAGGCATTTTGGTTAATTTTGGGATTTGGTGAATTTTGGTCAATTTGAGTTGTTGGGATTGATTTGAGATGATTTGAAAAGAAATTTGAGAATTTAGGGAATTTTAGCAAAAATTAGGGTTGTAGGGGTATTTTGGTAATTTGGTGGAAGTTTGGGCTAAAATGGGCAAGTGAGCCATGAAGCCATGTCAAACTGATAGGGGTCATATGAGAATTCATTTTGGATGTTCAATATTCTGGTCCTAACCCTCTTAGCCAAAAGGCTAAGGGTTTGGGTTCACCCTTATGAATCTTCCAAAAGAAGTCAGGAGACTAAATCAAGAGGTCCTAGGGTTTAGGGTGTGTGAGAAAGCGTAGTGTGTGCAAGCTAACCTAACCAAGACCAGACCACCCAGGGTTAGTCTTAAGGTTCGAACATCCTATGGGGAACTCTTGAGCTCCTCCATACTGACCCCACCTAATAAGTGGTAGAGATTAGAACCAACATGTGGAACTTCAAGTTGAGCAAAGAAGAGTTTAGAATTTCTAATGGTAAGGGTTCCCTTTCTAGTCCTCTAGGAATAGTCAACAAGAAAGTCCTATGGCTAGACCTTAGGCTACTAAAGAGGAAAAAATAGACTTCAACCAAAAGTTAGGTCAACAGTTATGATGAACTTATTCCAGAGATATTAGGGAAGTTTAGAATATTAATAATTTTCACTTAAGAATTTCATGTTAAAATTTCAATTTACTACCATATATTTTATTTATAATGCAGTTATGAATTTATGTTAGTGTTTGTTTGTTTGCTTCTATGTTATCCTCCACTACATTGAAGTCAGATGAATCTCAATATGTTAAAGTTAAGTAAAATTTGATCAATTAATTTTCACTCCTGCTTTTAATTTTTGTAATTATATATTTAGGGTATTAAAATTCCTGTAAGCATGTTATTTTTAGTTTTCATTTCTACATATATATATATATATATATATATTATACTAACCAAACATGCTTCAAGAAATAAAAATTTTAAAAAAAACAAAAAAAGAAAACAAAGTGACACTAAATGAACCATAAATGTTTCGGCGCTTGAGAAAATTATTATTAGTAATTCCAATTAAATTTTTTAGATGTTAATATATAACTTTGAGACTAATGTTTATGGAAAATTAGATGACTAAATTTGTAACATAATTTTAAGATTGTTGATGATAAACATATGTTTCATTACAATGAAATGATTTGTCGACATAAATCTTGAAACAACTGACGAATATGAGAGCTAGAAGGATCATCATTTTGTTTAATCCTCATTTTGTGATTCAAAGAATAAATTTTGATGTCT